AGTACAAAATCTGAACTACAGAAACAAAAAGAGCAGCTCACTAAAGTTGAACATGATGAAGTCCGTACATTTGTATCACCGGCAGGACCTGGGAAATAATAAAAACTTATCATACTAATGCTAATTTGTTCTTTTGTTTCCCCTGCAGCTCTCTAAAGGAAAAAAATAAACATTTGAATCGTTAAAATGTCATTCAACACTGGCCGAGTTCCTTGCATTCATTAAGGATGCGACAAGTTAAATTTGCTTCTATATAATGATGTCAGAGGCCTTTTCATTTCTGCAGAAAGAGATAATTTACCTTTTGCAGAAGGATGTGCATGCAACTGGGCTGTTATATAAATAACTCCTAAAACAACCTTTTTTTGCACCCATTTAAGCTGTATAAAATGCATCTTGCTGCTTTGTCCACTGTAATGCGGCAGTTAGACAAAACAATAAACAATATTATGGTGTTGAAGTTCATTCTGGTCAAAGCTGGCATTAAACCAATCCCTTCAGCTGTTTAATTCTTAATTTGATTAATTTAATTAACTATTTTAGAGCATTTAGTGGAAATATGTGGTCAGCTTGTGGAGGAGAAATGCGTATAAGGTCATGTGTGCATCAGTGGTTAAGTTATTATTATTATTATTAGTATTATTATTATTATTATTATTTAGAAAATAAAAGCTCACTTGGACTGGACTGATGAGATATAGGTCCAAACAGTGCCAGGAGGGGACTTAGATTTTATCATTATGGGCCGAGCGTACTATTGATCATAAATCGTGCAAAATCTTTAAAGGGGTCTGTTAAAATCATTTATTGTAACACTTGATGTCTAAAAGTTAAGTTAATTAGATTACTCCTGACGGTGCAACGGTGAAAAATAAACTGAGGAATAAGATATTTGATTGAGATGAATAAAAGATTAAGCTTTTAGTCCAGAGTCAGCCACACTTCATCCATCAGAAGAAATGTACAGATCCAACTAACTGAACTGATAATTCAGTTCCACACTGGACAGTAGAGTCATATTTACTCAGTCGGGAACATACACATTTTCATAAAGTTCTTCTAAAATGAAAATAAGAGCAGCACTTTTTAGTCAAGAGGCAGGAGACTTTTTTGGTTCATTTCAAAGGTTATACGATTTGGACACTGTGAGACAAAAAAAGACTAGAATGACATTAGAATATAAAGTCTGTTGTGCTAAATTCATTTTAGTATTATTTAAATTAAATCTATGTTTTTAGAGTTGTGCGAGTTGAATGTTTTTACAAATAAAATGGCTGTAAAGCCATGCAGGGAATTTGATGCAGTTTACTTTCAGAAAATAATAAATGTAATTTCATTATTTTTTGTTCGTCAGGTCACTTTCCTACACCATATTCAGAACTCAAAGATTTGAAAGATATATTTTTATTGCAACTACCGGATTTTTATATATTTATTTCTCAGGGTCAAGGTCAGCGTAAGGTTTATTTCTTTATAATATTTTTTAATCCTCTGGAGGCAGGCGTTGCAGATTTACAACATTAAAACCTACCTACCTGGTTACTCCACATACGTATTTCATGATCATTTTTTAACTCAGAGGTACCCCTGAAGGACTTAGTTGTTCGTCCTTTTATCAAACCTTATTTTGAGCCTGAGAGGGTTAACAACCATCCAAGCCGCACGTTTTTAAAAGAAATATGGTAAAGTATTGTGTCGCCCTCTAGAGGTAGAAGAAAGTCTAACTTTCACATAAAATCTTTTTTTTCTTATTTATCTCAAAAGTTTGTTTTTCTCCCTCTACCCACCAGAGCCTTCTGCAACACATCAGTAAAGACAGCATTTATGTTTTTGTTTGAGTTTTGAGCTTAGCTATAAAGGGAAACTTCAACTATTATATTGATTATAATATTTAAATTCAACATTTTATTTACTTAGCTCCTTCAACTTTCCATTTGCAAAAGTGCAATTTAAGGCTGAGAATCAAGCAATTTTAGTATCAAGCACATTAAATCAGGGAAGGTATGGCTGATGAGGAAGGAGGACTAAAATCTGTAATGCAGTCATGAAATAATCTACATTAATACATTTGAAAGATGATATGAAAACAAAAGCGTTTAGCTTAGGCTAAAAATAATGTAATAAAGTTATAACTTTTTCACCTGAAATTAGAAGCAACCACCAAATCTGGTTCTTAAAACTGTGATTTTTATTTGATTTCAGGGTTGTTTCATTTCTTAGACAGGAAGACTTCTCTGCTGCTGCTGACTCAGCTCTACATTTGTCTCTGAAACCATCGGTGCTTTTTGTAGTTTCATCACCTCACAGGATGCTTCTGAGAAGTCTTAACATTTTTTGTAAAACTCTATGCATTTTATTATACAAAAAAGGGAAAAAATATATAAGTATTTCAGCTATGAAAGATCCAGACGAGAGCTAGTTTAAACAGGGGCGTGTCCAGGGAGTGGCCTGGGGTGGCACATGCCACCTTTGGAATCTGATTGGCCACCCCAGGTGCCACCACACTAATTTACCTTTAAATAGGCTTTTCATTGTCCACAAAAGGCTTGGAGGTAAAACAAAAAAAGCACAACCATTGGTGCCACCCATGCACAAAATTGTGCCTCACCTGGGCCACCCAATTTTAAAAGATCTGGGCACGCCGCTGAGTTTAAAGGTTTAATTGAAGCTGCTGGGAGGAAGAGGCTCAGTGTAGCGGTAGTCCCAGCAGGTTGGTTAGAAGTAGATCTGCAGATTATTAGCCGAGAGTTTTTCACAGGTTTTCCGGGGGGGGGGGGGGGGGGAGAGAGGCAGCAGATTATTCATTTATTTTCATTATTATTTATTTACTGTGAATTAGAGTGATTTGGAAATGTGTTTCTTCTACCATTGTTTGTTATTTTAAAATGTTCTTTTTACTTATTTTCTAGTTTGCCCTTTAAACCACATTGTCATAATATATAACTTAAACTTGTCATTTATTTTATTAAACAAGTAGCATCTGTTTTGATCAAACATTTATTCAGTTGTCCAGGAGTATTTTTACCAAATAACTTTTTTACTATTCCTGGAGTATTTTTCTAACTATTTTTTCATATACAAGACATTTAAAAATGTAAGTGGTATGTTTTAATTTGCGGGAATCTACAGGAATCACCGATGAGTTGTATTTTGTTGACATTTATGAAAGCTGTAGTAATAACTTGTGTCTGCCAGAGGGCGGAAAAAATCGTTCTCTCAAAAGCCAGATAATATAGAACGCATATAGAACGTATACACAACCTTTGTTTGTTTTGCAGAAAAGAGCAATGAGAATTATAGACAACACTCATAGTACAGCTCCATCTAACCCATTATTTATAAAATATAAAGTAATTAAATTTCATGATTTGGTCAACTGGAGAATATTGCATATAATGTATAAAGCAAATAAAGGTACATTGCCAAAGAATATTCAGCATATATCTGAAAAGAGAGATAGCAGTTATTCGTTGAAGGGATTTGAAATCTTCAAAAAACCTAGATTTAGAACAAGAATGAAGGAAATGAGCATATCTGTGAATGGTGTGAAGTTGTGGAATTGCCTGGACAGAGAATGGAAAGAGTCAAGAACTCTAAAAGTGTTCAGTCTACACATTAAATCACGTGTGTTGAGTGGATATGACAACGGACAATTGATGTGGACATAATAATTAACAAATGTGAACAGTTACGGGACTGAAAGAACTGGTGAGGGACTGCACAAATATAAATTGATATTTAAGTTTAAAAAGGGTGCAGAAATAATAAGATTTTTCTTCTATCTGCTCCCTTTCATTCAAATATATATTGTGTTTTTATGAATATTGTTTAGTATCTGTTGTGTTATTTTTTATTGAATGAAATAAAGATAATAAAAAAATTTAAAAAATGGTTGAGTTCTCACGTTTCTATCCAGTTGTCCTAAGTATTTGAAATCAATCAATCAATCAATCAGTCAATCGATCAATCAATCAAGAGAAATGACCAGTTACAAGTAAGTAGATTAAAAGTTTATTTAGACAAAAAAATGAAAACAACATTTAAAATAACTGTGTTTCAATCAATTCATGGGTATTTTTATGTAATTGGTTTTATTTTATTTAAGTATTTTATACATGTATTGTTAAATCAGAATGGATTAATTATTCCCTGTTTAAAACAATAAAATAAAAATTTAAAAAGCACGTCAATGTGTGTATGAATCTCTGTGTTTTTAGTTGGGCATTTATTGGTCTTAGAAATTAGTAAGTGGAATGTAGTTTGCAACAAGATGTAGTAACAGCTTATGGCCGCCAGAGGACGGAAAAATCCTTACTCTCCAATGCCAGATATTAAAGGGTTGAGCTCTCGTGTTTCCATTCAGTTGACCTAAATAATAAACATAAATTCCTAATAGACAGAGCATGTTACCATTAATCAAGTCAAATGACCAACTACAAGTAAGATAATTGTATTTGTTTTTTACATAACAAAAATATTAATAACAACAAGACGAACTTGCATTTTTATTTTTTATGTTATTTTTGGTATGTTTTATTGAAGTAGTTAAAATCAAAATGCATGAATATTTTTTCTATTTAGACCAAAAACATGTGTACCTATTTAGAAATGTGTGTGTATGTAGTTGCGTCTTTATTAGTCCTCAAACAATAACTAATAGTTTTATATCTGTCATGTATGATTAGAAATTGCAAACCAATGCTGGTCAAATGATGTAACTACATTTAGAAATTGGTAGAAAATCCCTCTGAATTCATTTTGGAAATAATTTCGCTCTGATGCCGCTAGAGAACGCATGCTCTGATGTGTTTGTAGCGCTGATGTGGTGATAGCTTTACTTTATGTCGTTGACTTAATCTAGTTAGTCTTATCTAGTAGTTTAACATTGATAGTTAAAATGGAATTATCGCGTTTTGGAAGTTTCGTAGTTTTAATGACTGAAGGCGTTCTGGCTGGTTTCCCCGAACAACTGTGTGTTTTATTTTGAAGGGATTTACAGGAAATGCTAATCAAGACAAGGAAGAAGATACGCACCCGGAAGTGTTCACTGAACAAAACAAAAAAGCAGCGATTTCCTCAAAGAGGAGCCTTTTTATGAGATTATTTCTAAATAAATTATATTTGAAGACGAAAATAAACACAGCGCAAGGTAAAAATAAACCACTGGAGAGGAGCAACTTTAGTAAAAAGGGCATCAATCGACACCCGCAGCCTGACTTAAGATGCCAGCAGCAGAAGAATCGCATGGTGATTTTTTTCGATTGCTTTTCTTGTTTTTTAAAACCAATTCGGATAGATTGTCATTATTTTTAGCTTTAATCACTCACGTATCCTGCCACCCTGTCGTCTTATCTACCTGTTTGATCCTTTTGACAGTTGTGAACATCGACATACATATAGGTGAACTCTTGTGTAACAGGAACTGCTTTGCTTCTGTGTTTCAGGCGTCAACAGTGTTGTGGGCAACATCTGCAGACTCCCCCCAGATGTGTTAAGAGAGACTGTAAGTAAATGATGCTTTTAGGAAGGAAGATTCAATACAAGAAGCATTCGTGACCCAGGATGGGATGCTGACTTTATCATTTTCAGTGTCAGGATATTCTGTCTTATCTTCAAGGGCAGACGAGTGGAGTAGATTCGGCTGACATTTCTCACGTGAGTCAAACTTTCTTTCTTTGTTTGTTTTTTTGTAATTCTGCTTTCTAAATTTACATTTCTGTTCATCATCTGAGCAGAGATTTCAGACGGCTGAGGTCCCTCTTGATCATGAAGCTCAGCAACACATGATCAGATTTCTTATCCTCACGTTCAGGTATTATTTATGCTAGTTTTGCGTACTTTTATTCAGGCACTCGATGGGCCTTATTCCTTTAAGGTGTCACAATGATGATTTGAATCTCTAGGACGGCTGGGAAGAAGAACCTCTCTGCTGATGAACTTGTGTCAAAGCTAGAAGAAGGCAGTAACAAGTGGTGCAAGGCGTCCATCCAGGTGCTGTGCACATTGTGGAGTGAACATGGTGCGTCGGTTCATGCCCAACAAAAGGTTCATTCCATGCTCAGCACCTGTCAGGCATGTCTGAGTTCAAAACTGCACAGCTTTTTGACTCTTTTGGTTCTAGATTAATGGAATTTGAAACTTGTTTTGCTGCAGCTGGTGGACGTGCAGTGGAAGCTGGCGATGGCGGTGAGCTCCGACACCTGTCGATCTCTTAACTCTCCTTATGTTTCGCTGCTGCTAAAGGTCCTTGAGCCCTCTGGGCAGATTAGCCAGAGGTCATTCGAAATGACCATTCCGCAGTTCCAGGTTTGCATCAGTTAATAGTTGGAAATGAATGATTGAAAATAGAGTTTTATGTTTACATCCTGTTTTTTTTTCCCTGCTCTTGCAGAATTTTCACAAGCAGCTGAAGGAGATGGCAGCGATTATGGAGACCGTATGATTTTAAGAAGCTGCTTTTTCCGGTTTTTGACCACGAAGCAACTTGTGTTTTGTCGGTTTGTCGCAAATTATGTAAGCTCCTACGTGATTAATTGGAAGGAACTCATGATTTAAGAGCGTACATGTACGTAATTCCTCCTCACACAAATGATGCTTCATTATGACCGATTACAAAAAATGCCACACATTTATTGTTTACTCCTGTGACTTATGACCCTGTTTTTTTTTCTGAAGATGTTTATGAGCTGCCTGTTTGAAAAGTTCCTGCAGTTCTGCTTGTTGACTGTTATGGTTTATGAGGTGAAATGTTTTCAGGAATTACATCATTTAGTTCATTTTTATTTGTCATGACATGGATCATATAGGGCTTACGCCAACAAGATTTCTAAAAGCTGCAGTCATTAAATAATTTTGCAATTATTTAAATAAAACTAAAGCATTGTCTAGACTGCTTTAAACAAGCATGTTTAACAGAGTACGTGTGCATTTGCATGCTGATTTATCGTAATAAAAACACAAGTGGGAAAAAGTCTTTAAAATCTGTAAAGATGTTTAAAATATAGTAAATATTTATGGAATTGGAATTTTGGAATGATTGGTGCAAAAACCAAACAAAGACCCATTGGATTCTAGTATAAATCAAGAGTTTATCCTTAAAAAACAACTTTTAGCCTAATTTAAATGCGCGTCCCTCAGGTGAACCAGCAGACAGAGAAGCCCATTTACCAGTGAATCATTTAATGGCCCGTTTTAAAGCTGGGCTTGATCATTCTGTTTTTTTTTTTTTTTTTTTTTGCTCATTTAATTTTACTATCATGTTTGTGCCTCTGAAAACAACAATGTCAAGGTTAACTGTAACTGATCAGCAGCTCAGAATCCTGAGCACCCTGACTGAAATTAGGCTTCACCTTAAAAGACTTTTATGTGTTTGGAGTGATGACACAAATCTGATTTAATTAGCTGTTTAAATAGAAAACTGCATGACAATGTTAAATGAAGCTATTTTGCAGAAATGAGAAGATGTCTCTTGATAATAAGACAAAACAACAGAAAAGAAAGATTTATAAAGGTTTTTTTTTTATCCTGGAGGTTTGCTTCCATGGTCAGAATATGTAAGAATGCGGCCATCAAGCTTACGACTACAGATCTACGTTTTACGGTGGCCCTGAAGTGCAAATCACTGAACACAACTACAAATTGAGAAGCACACAAACAAATTAAGAATAACACGAAAAAAATGGAAAAACACCAAAATATTAAGAATAACATACACATTCTGAAAGACACAAACAAATTAAGAAAAACTCAAATTAAGAAAAGCACAAACAAATTAAGAAAAATGCATAGTAGTCCACGTGCGCATCACGGAGGGTACTCTGTATTGCTGTCATAGTCCCATTCTCTGTCCCGAGGTCTGCTCGTAATCTCATTGGTATCACACCAAGACTTTTTACACAGTTTATATAATTTTGAGCTATAACAGCTGGGTTATTGTTTGTTGCTCCCATAGACTGTACATACATTAACCAAACATGAATAATTTTCTTAAGTTTCATTAATTATCTGGGCATTTGAAGATACCAGTGATGAGCTTAATACTCTCTTACTTTTTATAATTGATTAACTATGTAACGTACCCAAAAGCCAAGTATTTACATTAAAAATTACCAGAAATTCACTTTTAATTTCCATACACAAACTGCATCACACATCCAGGGACGCATTACATCTGTCTGGTCTCCACACAAGAAAAGTAAGGATCTACGACCTTGCAGCCAAACAAGTTAGCCATAATAAGTGCTGGAAGACAAGGCCCATGTGGAAGACGAGACTTTCTGCACTTTCACACTCAATAAAGTTCATCTTTCTTGAATCGTAAATGACTTTACAACTTCTTATGTTGATATAATCAAATATGCTGAATGAACAAGATGTTTAAATCCCAAAGCGTTTGAATAATCTTTGCATCAATATGTTAAAATTAATATTTTTCCTGCAATGATTCATTTCAGATCTTAAACTACACTAGATCAGTATTTGTTGATTTAACAATTTTGTCTCAGTATATTCACACCTCGTAATAATTGTTGAATCAATGTTTTAACATTCACTTCACATACATGGGTAAGAACATTTTCACTTCACACTAAGAGCAGAACCATGTGTTCCATGAATAGTCAGTCTGAACTAAAGTCTTGTGATTAAGCATTCAAATACAAATCAGATTTATATTCCATATTTATATGGAATATCACGTCTTATTGGTCATTTACTATATGTAGTCAATCCAACTACAACTAGAAACCCACAGCTAGTATTTCAGACAAAATCAACGTCATCAACTACGAAGACAATTAAAATGTTTTAGCCTAAAATCTTGATTAACATGAGCAGATTATACACGATTTAAAATGTGTTTGACTCCATTTTCACATGTCCTGGAAATTTTATCATTAAAATGCCATTTTATAAAGCATATCACAAATTTACCATAAAAAGAATATTTTTACACTTTTTCAACCTGCAAACTATTCTTTAAAAATCTTTTTAGAAGGAATTTGCCAAACTTTTAATTTAGCATAATCTACATATTTTACCCTGTAGGGGTTATAATTTTATGATGCCCCGTGGACTGGTGCTGCCTATTGGAGCTGCTGTAGTGGCCTCCATTTGGCCCCAGTGCATTAATTTCTACTGAGGAGGGTGCTTACCCAACTAAAATACACATTTTATCAAGCTTTTTCACAAAATTGGAAAATTTTAACATAAAATCTGGTAAGTTAGAACAGTCATTAGTAATCCTACGTGATCTGTTTTCAATTGCACGCCGGTAGTTGTAACCGTACGCTGCACAAAAAAAGGGCATAGTTGCTCACACTGCGCTGATTTTGGAGAGTTAGGAGTTAGGAGACCCATCCAATATGGCGGCTGTTACACTCTCCAGCGCCCAGAGCGGCGTTGATAAGACGCAGTGGTCCGTCCTCGAAATCTCTCCGCCGCGTGTTCCGTTACCAAAAGAGGTTGTAGTAAAACAAGCGCGCTTCGCTTTCAGGTGTTATCCAACCTTTCTGTTTACGGAGCACGTGGAAAAGTTACTTATTTAAGGCGTTTTGCTGTTTTTTGGGCAACATACAAAACACCTGTTAGCCATGCGTCCGCTGAATACAGGAAGCGGATATTTTGGAGTGAAGGCAGCGACGTGAACGGCGCAGTGGCGTGGATAACCAAAGTTGACAGCAGTTAGCTGAGAGAAACAGGCTGTTCCTGCTCGGTAAAACCATGGAGGCAGTTGTAAAATTTACTAACCAAAGTCAAGGCAGGGACCGTGTATTCAGGTGAGTGATCTAAGAGTGCTTCTGACCTGGTTAGTAGAAATTAATTTATATTTACTTATTTGTTTGTTTTGTTTTATTCCAGAACAACCCAGTATGCCTGCTCACTCTTGATTTATTTACTGCGGAACAAATCTGAAGGAAGGGACCTTGTGGCCAAACTTCAACAGTTGGAAACTAACATGAGGGCTGGACGAAAACGTGAGTATAAATGTAAAGCAGGGTGGGAGGTGTTCGGAGTGGAGTAATACTGAAATTACATAATTTGGTTTGATAAATTCCCAAACTGTAATTTATATATTTTTAAAAAATCATAGTATCACAAACCTAAAACTAGTGATCAAACTATGCAGATTTGACTGGATTTATAGGAAATAAACACAATAAGACGTTTTTTAACATTTGCATTAGAAATTTACCTAATCTGTTGAAAATATGTTGCAGTGTTTTAATCCACAGTTTCTGAAAATATCAGAATTCTTCTTAAATTTTATCCTATTTTAAACTTGAAATATTTTCTATATTACAGTGTTTTTTTTTTACATTCTTTAGGTGGGTGATTCGGGTGAATTATTCAGTGATAAAAAAAATTAAATAAAAACAACCAGAACATTAATGCGTGTTTTGTTGTTATGACAAAAGAGGCACATTCCTTCCAGTGTAAACGTCTGGATCACGCTGTCTGCGTTGATAGTGTTGCTTCTTAAACATATGATTCTTTTAGGTTGAATCTAATCAGTCACAGATCACCTTCCTGGGGTAAATGTTTTAACGTTTTGAACTTGGACACAGACTATCAGACACTGACACATGGAGATCTTGTCCTTCTAAATTCCTCAAATGAGTGGTATATTAATGGCTGCTAGGCCAGAGGGAACTCGGCTGTTGATGCACCGTTTAATTATCTCCCTGTGTGTTGGAGCTGCAGCCGAGAGGCCCTGCTGCTTTAGTGCTTTGTCTGTCTGCCTGGGTTAATAAATGTGTTGTGTAACAGTTTATGAGTCAATCCCTCTGGAAAAAGCTTTTTAAAAGGAAAATCTTCAAATGTAAAGGTCAGAGTGAAATTACAGCTGGACTTCTGGTTTTAGAAGCATAAAAATAGTCTTAATCTTTTTTTAAGTGAAACTGCTATGTTCTTCTGATAATTGCTGCTAAAGTTTTTCACCTCACATTGTTTTTATAAATGAATTCTTACTGCGTTACCCACCCGTTTCTCCCCCTTCGTTAGTGTTCAGGCTGGGAAATGCTGTGAACTCCATTGTGGCTGCTAAACAAACCGTGCACCTTCCTGACCGCGTGCTGCGCCTGTGCCTCACTGTGGCCAACTTCAGCCGTGCCCTCTACTTCCTCTGCGATAACGTCGTCTGGGCCAGAGGGGTCGGCCTGGTCCGCAACATCGATAAAGAGCGCTGGAGCGTGAATGCCTCTCGCTTCTACTTCTACTCGTTGGTGATGCATCTGACCCGAGATGCTTATGTCATTTTCCTCCTGATGGTGAAGAAAAGCAGGGACGAGCAGTTCAAACACAAATTGAATCAGCATGTCAACGAGAGTTGCGACGTCGCTGAAGCCGTCATTCCTGAGCTGGATACTTTTGTTTTTCTGCTTTTAGAAACCTTGAAATCACATCCAGCTGTTGCTTTGGACACAGTGAAAAACATATGTGATCTGTTCATTCCTCTGGACAGGCTGGGTTTTTACAAAACAAACGCAGGAGTGGTTGGGTTTTGTGGGCTGATGTCCTCTCTGATGGGCATCGTAACCCTCGCACATCCTGCGTTAAGGATCAAACCGTGATAAGGAGGGTGGGGTGGGGTCGGGCCAAAGGTTTACATTTGACTTGACTTGCATGATAATCAGCAGATGAAAACCCAATGCATCTGTTTAGATATTTCTAGGATTGGGAGGACTTTGTAGATGACTTTCAATGAAAAAAATCTGGATAATGTTTAACAAATGATAATTCATACTTTTTTCTTCACTGATTTCAAGATTAATATTTTTCCAACAAAATTGATAGAATTAGAAATTTTTTCTTTTCTTTTTTCTTTGTGGTGGTGATCTAAAAATCTCTGTTTTGTGACTAGACACCGCTGAAAGTCTAGTTTCTAATCATGTTACTTGCTTCTCAGCTGGAATGGGTTAAGTCTTAAATTGCACGCTCTGGACTAATTAGCTTAACTTAGAGGGAATTAAGAGTAAAACTATGCACTTTTTAAAAATTATTCATTGACAAAACTGTTTTGAGGAATATTTATGTACATTTTATATATTTTCTTTTACATGTATACATACATCCAACACTCAGGGTGAATTCAAAAACCTAAATAGCCAGTGTTTGTGATGTTAAAGTTATCATCTACTTATGTGGTCCACTTCAAAATACTTGATTTGATTGAAATATTTGTCCTCATTTTGTGAAACTTTGTTTTCTATTTAAATGTGGTTTCTCATAAATGCTGCAACTCTGCCCTCTAGTGGACAAACACTGCCTTGTTAAATTGAAGAGCTTTATTTTCAAATTCACTGAGACAATAATACACTTTGTTTTTGAAAACTTTTCTTCAGAGGATGATGCAATAAACCATCCACTGTCAGAATTATGCAAAAATACAGTATTTTTTTCACAATGGTTTAGTGTTGCTGTGAAAAAAGAACAAACGATGCAAAAATGAATCCCAAAAAAGCACAGAGCAATAAATAGAATATATACTAAAGTAAATAATAAGCACTAATATATAAACAAAAGGCTTGATTTCACATTTCCACTGGTGTTTTTCCAGTACCAACAAATCATTAAAGCACACGTTTATCAAGTAAATGAAATTAATGGAAGCAGTTTTCAAAACTGGAATTTGAGATAAAATCTGACTTTTGTTTTAAAAGCACATGTAGCAGTTAAGAACTAGTGTTGAGTTGGTGTCCCTAAGGTTTTAATCACCAGAGAAATATTTAAACATGTTGGTCAGAACAGTAATATGAACAAAGCACTTTTACAAAGTGGCAACAGTGTTGAACTACAGTAAATACTGCCGGCCCAGAGTTCTCCTCTCTGCAAATCATTATTGACATGAAACGATTTTGTGAATGAAAAGGGGGCCTTCAGTAGCTCCTTCAACAGGTAAATTAAAAATAATTTAAAATGCCCTTTCATCAAGGGGGTAGCTTCTTAAAAATTCAAATCTTTTATTTTGAAATAATTTCCTTTTGTCATCAGTTGTGTTTTATTTTTGGTGTTACTTCTGTCAACCAAATGCTTCAGGATCTTCTAAGGAATGAAAACAAACTATGCAAAATACAAAAACATTATTTTGAAAAACTGAATCCTGTACTCTTATTTTTAATGCAACTGTACCACCTACAGTACCAAATAAACCCACACAGGTCGCTCTTAAAAGTCATTCTCTGATGTTTTATACATAACAGGACATTTTTTGTCTAGATGCATAAAAATATTTCATATGTCCTGAGAAAAGATCCAATAAGCTGATTTTTAGTATTTTTGTTTGGTGTACCGGACCTTTACAAAAACTTGTCCTTTCAACAAATGTAGTGCTTAAACATGCTAAACACTTCCAGGGGTCACTGTCCTTATTACTCCAGTGGTCAGTGCTAATAAATATTTATTGGACATGTCCATATGTGCTAAGAGCAACTCCTTCCTGCTACTCTAGAAATCCTTCAAACATACCAGAGGTCTGAATAAAAAACTCATTTGATTGCAAAGGAGCTGCTAAATATTTGAATTCATACAATTTTTACTGCGAAATCAGAAGCTAAACAGGTTTTTTTTTAATAAATAGTCGTGCAAAGATTCTGCCTTTTGATTGTAGTGTTGGATAAAACAGGACGGTACATTAAGAAAATTGAAGCTAAAAAAATATTTAAGACATTTGTGGTAAAACAACACAGAAAAGACGAGTTCTGCACCAGTAAGACAGAAATGGTCTGAGTACGCTTAAGATATGGAAAAATAAAACCACGGGCATTTTTTAGGAACAACAACCAAATGGAAATGTCTGAAAAATCTGTACATGTCGAGGGAAACGCCAGCATCATTCCCCTGAGCAACAGCGAGGGAACTGAAAACATCGTCTCTAAATCTAAAGGAGGGCCTGGGCTAATAGACGAGAGCAACTCCAGGTGTAAGTCTGAGATGTTCTGTCACATTCATCTGAATAACATGTTGACGATAAACATTTAACTCCAGTTAAACCAGTGGAATAAAATACACGACGACTCGGCCCATTACCAAGCTAAATACCCTGTGAGCTCTAAAGCAGGGGTGCCAAATATGCGGCCCGCGGGCCGCATCCAGCCCGCAAACGGGTTAATTCCGGCCCGCGAGATGGTTGTGTAAACTTTATTTTCATACTTTACAATGTAGAGTGAAAATAAACTTATCTTTGTGAGCAAGTTTTCTCTGTAATGAGTATAAATAAAACAAAGCTGCGCTCAAGGCTCACACAAGAACTTGAATAACATCCTGAAGTTGGCCGCCACTCAGGATGTGACTTCTGTTATTGATGTGCTGGTGAAAGCTAAAAGATATTAAGTAAAATGAGTCAAATATACTTTAAGTGCTGCATGAAACTGATCTAGCCATGCGATCTGTAAGCTCTGAATCACTAAGGAATTTTTTTTTAATTTATTGATTGATTTTTTTATTATTTTCAAATTTTCAAGTACACTTCAGGTGTTCTACTTGTACTATTTTGGATACACTGCCCTCAGGCTCCAGCCTTGTTTTATATTGATTGTATTAAAACAAAGAAAACAATCTGAAGTTGTTTTTAATTTACCGGTCCGGCCCACTTGGGACTAGATTTCCCTCAATGTGGCCCCTGAGCTAAAATGAGTTTGACACCCCTGCTCTAAAGCATCTAAAGTGTAAACAGGACGATTTCTCCAAGAGTAAAACCTGCAATCTTAACTCTCAGTGGACAAGCTGATCAGAGTTATTCTTTTCACAATAAGCAAGGCAGTTATTAGTTCTGTAGGCTACGTTTCAGTGAAACTGATCAGATGTCCTAAAATGAGCATTACGGTGTTTAAAGATTTCTGAGAAATAAAAAAAGGACCAACAGCTACATGAAAATCTGATTAAAGCTCAAAGCCACGTGTTCAAACCACAGATTCTGTAGCAGTTTGTATCCCACCAAGTCTGCAGAAATACAGAATTAAATCACCTCTTGTTAGATTAAATCTCATTTAAATAGCCTTATAATACGCTGATAAACACGATCTCGATACGTGATATTCTTATCATAACAAATTAGTATTTGATGCATCTAAATGTATTTAATTTTCTACCTGCAGGAAGCAAGTGCACAAACTATTTTGTATTTAAATATAAAGACTTTAGTAGCTTTTGCATTCCTCTAAGATTGATTGTACCATTAATTAAATACTCAAAAAGACACTTTTAAGTTTAAACTAGTTGAAAATGATGCCGTTTGGCAGGATGGATTACACATGTCGGAGTAATCCGAGTACTCTACAGCAGAACAGAGTCCAGATTTAAAGGGTAACATTTGATCACGAGTAGGTGGTCTTAGCCCACTTCAAAACGAGGAAAACAAACAAAAACAGAGAAGATCCTCGCTCCTCCATTCCAGTAACACTCTGAGGAGTAAAGTGAATAGTGTCTCAGCAACCTGTGGACCCAGCTGAGCAGTATTTGGGTCTGCTTTGAGTCTTTTGGTCCAGTTGTGTTGCACCCTGCTGAGGGTGGAGGGCGGTTACTATGACAGTCCCTGTGATCGGTCGTAATCCGCGATCAGGCCTTTGATATGCGACAGTTTCTTATGGAGATACTCGCACCGCTTCTTCTCTTCCTGATACCCAGGAAACTTCTGGAGAATAAAAAAATAAAAAAATGCAATTTATTTATCACATCAGGCACCTAAAAGTCAGTTTACAGGTTCAAAATTTCAAAAGTTCTTACTTTCTTGTACTTTCTGTACTTCTGTAGTATTTGCTCCTCCATAAGCTGAAGAAACGAGAGAAAAGGGGGTTAGACCTGGGGTTATTTTTGTTGTATCCACTAGACTCTCTGTACAGTCGGTACCTTGTACTCCTGTGTTCCCGGAGAGAGCGTGTTGATCTTTGAGCCCAACTGTACAAACATTTCTGTGATCGCTCCGATCCGGTCGTGGAGAGCTCTGTATTCATCGTACTCGGCACAAAAGTCGTCGTTATACTGCTGACGCTGCCCCAGCAACGTTATGGCCGTGTATTTTCTGACAAACAAGAAAAAAAAAAAAACATTACTTTTATTTTCAAAATAATAAGGTCTGAAGGTCTGAAGAGGCCAGGCTGTTTTTCAGTACTTCCACTAGAGGGCGCTGCACACTTTCTGATTAAAGGGCATGGGTGTTAACCAGATGTAAAAATATAAGACATGAGGCTTTTTTAAGTTTTTCGCAGCTCATTTTGCGACTCGTCCCTCAGTTATTTAAACGTTTGCAGATAAAACTCAACTTAAAAAAAACAGGCTTGTTTATTTTTCTCTAAACTTCTAGATCCCGATAACTGACCTAGAATCAGTTAGTTACTGAATGTGGGAGCATGCTAAGTGTATTTAATCTTACATTAAATAGTCGGGAAGTTCCTCTGCTGGTGTTTTCTGTCCATCGCGCTCTGCAGCTGGATAAAACAGAAACAAACATGGAAGGAAAAATGTTTTAGCACAGTCTGCCAGTAGATGTGATGATGTGTCCATTATAGCAAGGCTAAGAGTCGTTTAACACAGTCACAGATAAGAGATTCAGTCCAGGGCAGGCTGTGATGTCAGCGGTAAAGCTGCCTGCTGACTTGATGGACCATAGGTCATCCAGCTGTTCTACAGTCAATCATCAACAGGCTGAAAGGAGTCAGTGTCACGGCCTTCGCTGCTTTGACTGAATGAGAGGATGAAATGTGTTAAATTAGGTCTGAAAGGGTTTTATTGACTTTTACCTTTGAAGTTTTCTTGGTTGTGCTTCAGGTCTGGACTCGTCTCTATCCAGTTGGGTTTTAAGCACTCTCGTTCCTTGTCTTTGTGTTTTTTGGACCTTTTCTTTTTAAGATGACCGTTGGCAAGATGCTGTTCAGTGCACGCGGAGGCGTCGCTGTGTGGGGGCTTAGTGCTAGGCGAAGTGGGAGCTGCTTCTGTCCGCTCTAGTTGGGAAAAACGCGATGATGAGTTGAGTTTGTGTGGTGAGTCCAGGCCATTGGGGCTGCCTTGAAGGTGATTGTTGCTTTTGTTGAACTCGGTTTTGATTTGTGCACAAGAGTTTTCATGGCTGAAGGAACTACGGGCCCCGTTGGCGCCACAGTCGATGTGAGAGGGTGACTGCAGGGGCAGACAGTCTTCTGACCGCCTTTGCTTTTTGGGGGTTTGAATGTTGGATGGGTCCAAGGCGAGTGGGCGTTTCTAGAGGAAATAAAGAGAGAAAAAAAATTAAGAAAAATGACCAAATAAATGCTAAGTTTTTAAAACACATGCAAAAATGTCCCATTTATGTTAGATTATGCTGAATTCATTTTCTTATTGAGAGACGTTTAGACTGGCATCCTCTTTCATGCCTGTGATGAAGATCAAGCTATAAAAACCATATCTCACATAAACATGTTAAAGATTTAATCTTGCAGCTAATTATAGAACAAGGAAGTAGAGGGGTGGAACACAAATACAACAAACAGGGAGGGGGGTGGGGGTGTTCCTTGGACTTTTTCCAGAATGCAATATGATGACCGTCTCAGCAGAGAGAAGGTGTGGTGGAAAACAACGATTCTCCTCAACCAGGTGAGAAAAAGATCAAATCTCCTGCAGCTACTTGTTGTGTAGAGATGGAATAATGTGAGGAAACGTTCTGTTTGACTACCGTAACTTAACTGCTTTATCAGGATCAGTCAAGCGAGTCGGAGGACATGTCTAGAAAATATCTCGTAATAAGCCACTCCCTCCTAATGCTCACTCACCACATCCATTGAAGAAACCCACAATGGTAGGTCAAGAATTAGGTCACTCACTCACTCACACACACACACACACACACACATACACGCATGCACTCACACACCTGTGTTGTTGGAGTCCAGCTAAAATTGCACTAATTTAATTTGTTTTTTCAAAACCAGTAATACACTCTAAATTTATAGTTTATTTCTTGTTTGATAACAGGCTAATGGGTAATTCCCAATCAATCTGATTTATCTTTATCATACAGAACATTAAAATGATGCTGGTCTTTGCTTCCGGTGTTCTGACAGATTATGTGCATGCGCACACATTCGCATTCATCTAAACGCCCGCTTTTTTCTGAGGAGTTGTCAGTTCAGCATACAAACGACAGTCATACAAAGTGTATGATGATCTGACAGGTAAATTGACCCTCCAAAGTGTCATACATCGTAAAAATGCATGGTGATCTGACAGCATATGCTTGTGTGACAAACTTGGGCTGTCAGATTTGTTGTAAAACATGTACGTCAATCTCACAACGTATGGTGACTGGACTAAACGTATGGTCACTGGATCTAAACTTGTTTATTTCCCACAACTCTGAACCTTTTTAATTCCAGTAAGGGCTATTTTTAGGCTAAACGTATAATTGCACGAGGAAACCAGAAGGTTACTTGATGAAGAGGAAGTGCCCCATCCTTGGTCTTGAAGGAAAAAATGGAGGAAGGAGACAAATGTGCTGCTTGACTAATTACCACAGAGAGATTCTTGGCAGGGCTGAGTCGTGATGGCGAGTCCCCAGAGAGAGTCTTGTGGAACGACTGGTTGGACTGGGGGCTCCTTAACTGGCTACTGTGGGGTGGCTGAAGTTTCCTGGGGAAAGATTTAGAGCACAGCACCGTGGGTTAGACAGTGACTTGGAGGTAAATGGTCTGTAAAGCCAAACAGGAAGAGGCCGCATGTCAGTCATGCAGTCATGGAGTTTACTTTGGTAGGTCTGTCTATGTGCAACAGGATGAGTGATTACTATTGTGAAAAAGTAAACCTTTCCAGGAGAGAATTATGCAACTAGCTGTCAGCTCCCAGCAGCCAAACGCTTACTGGTAAGAACAATGGCAGCAGATTTAACCCTGAATGGCCAAACCCAGTTTTCTGTTAATCTGCTTCCTACAGCTCCTTCCTTTAACAGATGCTGTGTGCAGAACGGCTTTATAAAGACAGATTTTAATATTTCCTGGTTAAAATGACTTTATTGTATTTGGAAATCTGCCAGCAGGACTGGCTCTTTTTCCAGAATGCTGGTGAAGCACATAGTTTGCATGTTTACTGGCAGCCTGAATAGACGTACGAGGTGAGGAAGGTCGTGCTGAAAAGCTCAGCAGTTTGGCAGCATGGTGCAGCGAAACGTTTTCATGCTTTGATGCGTCGACTATGAGATTTATCGGTGCAGAGGGGCAGCCGTTTTAGAGGCTCCACTTTTAAATGATCTCAGCGGACGTCCACATTAATAAACCGGCCTTTTGTCTTGAAATCGGTTCACTGACTGTGCATTTATCTCTGCGCGATCTATTATGAGTCCTGTTTAACACTCCATGTGTGTGCTATCATAATGTAGCTAACGCATTTGCCAAAAAGACACCTATGAGGAACTATATAGGAAATTGTCATATTTTCAGTTTTTTTTGTGCAAGAAAAATAAAAATAAACCCTTTAGCATTTTTTGACTGACTTCCTTTTTACCTGATCAGAAGCCTGTTTATGAGCTGCTTCTCCTCTTCTAGATATCCAGGCCAGTCTCTCTGGACTTGTCTGTACAGCTCATCCTTCAGAGAATAGCTGTGGTCTTTAGGATTCAGTTTACCAACCTGAAACACCAACAAGTCCCCCAAATATTAGAAAATACACACAGAAATGACTGCAGATGGAAACAAAAAAGGTCATGTGAAGTTATAAAAGCACCAAAACCTTTTCTTTCCCCCCTCGACACAGTGATTCTGTTTGGTTTCTGTCGACACGTGCCCAAAACCAACAACCCTGCTCTTTCAATTCTGAAAGTAGTCCCAGCAGGAATCACCCCACCCTTCTTCTGTCAAAACACAATCTTCTCATCCAAAGATAATTAAAGCATAGCACTAATTACAGTTACCAGTGATTGCACAGGTTCCCACTTGATGACTGTAGTGACACACTCAAACATTGTGAACACAGGAAATGTGCCTAAAAGACATCTAGGTAGGTGATGCTAACGCAACGTTTTCAGCTCCACTGCACTCCTTTGATGACTCAGATCAGTTTCAGACTCTGAAAATAATCAAAATTTGCTATTTCCTTTCTAATTGCATCAATATCGGGGAATCTGTGTGCAACGCAATCCACCAGATGCTCACCTCGTCTAGGACTGAGGCCAGATCAACCTTGTCTTTTGGACTGGCCCGCTCCCGCTCCAGCCACAGGAGCACCTCGGGCTTCCTGTAGGGCTTCAAGGCCAGGAGGTGAATGATGCGGTCCCGTAGAGGTCGGTGTACCACAGGGCCTGAAATCAGGCTTCTCTTGTTGCTGGGGGAGTGCTTGTTAATGCCGTCGGAGCCCGATACCAGAGCTGGTTTTCTCTGGACTTTCACACACTTACCTACAATCGAAACGGAAACGACAAAACTGTTTAAACTTTTGAGACAAATTAGTGAAAAGGGAAGTTTTTTTTTGTTTGTTTTTTTAACAGAGAGATCTACTAAACAAAACCGGAAAAGAGCTTTAAAATGATCTGATAACAGGGTTTACAAACGCTGAAAGCATCCAGTAAAAAGCACAGCGAGCATATCATTCCTAATCCAGTCCTCGGGGCAGATATACAAATCACACCCTCAATTTAAAAGGCATGCCTGCACATGAGAGACAGCGAGACAATGCTCCTCATTATTACTGTATCTCTCTCTTCTCATGCAGTCAACTTTGTGAAATTTTGTGTGTGACTGATAAGACTGCAGCTGCTGCCCACTTTGAGAGAGCACTTTACATGCACAAACACGTGAAGAAGGGCGCTGTGCTCGTGCACCTCTCGCTGTCCATGTGCAGAGGCCGTGGAGAGAGACCTTGTCTGCCTTTATGTAAACAGAAAAGTGTAGCAATTACAGGGAAGCCATTTCTTCCTGCTGCAGAACAGACTTCTCATAGCTCAATAGATTTGTGATGTCTATCAGATTAACGCGCTTTATAATTTATTAGCAAAGATGACCTTCGTTTGCAGCTCTGGCATTAAAAGCAGGTGAGTGGTAGGGATTCCTTAAAGTTATGAGCACTAAAACAGCATCTAGTTGTTTTTGGACTATTTCTATAGTCTCTGGCAGAACAACCTGCACTGCAACATTCTAGACAAGCAGCGACAGGAGCCTCCGCTTCATTGTGACAAACTTGGTGGTAATTTTCAAAAGTCTTTGTTGTACTTTCCCACCTGACGTATGACAGCAAGTCAGGATTTAACATGTTGCATGTTGTTTTTACGAGACGTAGACAATTCATATTTAAAAATAAACAACTTGGTTCCAGGTGTGCTCATATTTCTGCAGCCTGGTGGTCAACTCTTAATTTTTTTTTCTGCTGAATGCAACCAAACATGAAATCACACATTATTATCTAAATGCTGGACGTTTTTCCACTTTCAACCTGTAATTGTGAATTGGTGCGGCAGAGACACATTTCCTGATAAGTTTATCATTACTGCATCGTAAAAAGATGGAAAGTTACCACAAAACAACTGTGCACTCCCCGCAGCACGTGGCTCATGCTGTGAGCTGTAAACCTTTTTTTTCTCTCTTCTTCTCAGAGAAGTTAGGGGCGTTAACATGCATGGGAAGAGATGTTTAAATTGGAATGTCCGGTCTAGGAGTTTCAGGTGTTTTTCAACATTTACAGAGTTTATTGTGAATAAAATCCTCACAGCGACATAAAAGCTGGTTTCGAGATCCACTCTAACATAAAAATATGGCTTTTTTCTAGTATGTTCTATTGAATAAATAAACTAAATTAGCAGCACAGTACTAACAGCAAAAGCAATATGCTTAATAGTGAAATGGAGACACGAAGCACAGATAGCTCCAGGTTATGCAAGTCAACACGATGAGCTGTATTTTGTAGAACAATTTAAGCAAATTGAAATTAATTGAATTTCAAGTCACTGTAATTAAATTTTTGCTAAAGCCTCATCAGCATCAACACGTTCAGGCGGATTTCTGCGAAACTCAATCACATTAATAGAACTGGCGGGCAAGTCGGGGGCAAGTCTGAGCAATCTGGTGAACATATAAGCAACATTGTGAGAAAAAGAAGTATTACTCATACAGAAATAACTGCGATAAAGCTCTTTACTGTGAGGGGATGACTTTCACTTTACGAGGTATTTGCTAACGGGGGATAGAGAGAGGCAACAGTCTGGGTGTTTCCTGAGTAAAAAAAGAAAACATACTTGGCCCTGGTTTGATTTCGATTGCTGTTCGGCTCCAGATGTCCTTTTCCACCTGAGACATGCGCTCCCGGGTCGTTTGGTACGAGTCGTCTGTGGCACAAACTGTGATTTTGTCTTGAATGCTGCCCTGGCTCTCCAGGTGATCCCTGCCTTCCCTGTGTGGAAGGAAAACTTATGAGAGGCTCAGCTCAGTTAGCTCAACATTTATCTGAAAAGGGAAAAAAACATTGTGTTTATTTTAAATGCTTAAATGTGTTGAGCACTTGTTTAATCAATGCATTTGCAGTGGTCTCTAGTAGGAATGAATGCCTTGTAAGTCGTACTCTGGGAGGAAAAGCCCAGAAGTGCTTGTGTCAGCACAGAGGAGTTAGCTGGAGGAAAGAGTGGCAGAACATGGCTTATCTCCTGATATTTTATACATCTCGCCTTTGGTTGGCTAACAGCATCAAAACTCTACCAATGACTCTGTTTGCTTGGCAACGTTGATGATTTCCACAAATAACACAAGTCTGGAGGAGTTCTGCTGTGTTGTGGAATTGCTAATGCTAACGGTTAGCTTCTACTAGCCAAGACATTTTCTGCTGTCTCCTGGACGCTAAACCAACAACAGCCTTCCTCGTTGTGAGTCAAGATGTGTGAGTCCATGAATGTTAAGGGACAGTGTGAGGTTGATCTGCCAGGATTTTCAAATCCTAGAGTTTCACAGTCAATTTTCTGTCAGAAGCTAATGCAGCAGTTAGGTTAGGGAGACTATTTTCATGTTCAGCCTCCATGAAAAACTCAGTGATTGGTTATAATAAAAAAATAATCATCAAATAATGTTTTTTCAGTGTTCCACACCTTAAATTAAACACAACGTTTATTGTTTCCATGCGTAGTTTGTTGTCCTGTTTCTGAAGTGGAGTGCTCAAAAAGCCAAAAGAAGAATAAAAAGCTGCTATATTCTTAAACCAGTTTGTTACTGGACCGTAGCTGTTGTAGTCAAATAGCAAGGTAAGCTTTAGGGGGAGTTTCCAAAAGGTCTAGAAACATTTGTGGGAGTGGTTCATTTGCTTACGCAAGTCTCGAGGGCCTCACTGTTGTGCCGTTTGATATTTAAACGTTAAAAAAAATTTGCCAGACAAATTTCCTCCCAATAGTCGTCACCTGAAACCCATCTCTATGAGACAAGGGGTTCATGACCACATTTTGAATAAAGTAAATTGCAGAAAACTGGCTAAATTAAGACACTTTGTGACTGAATAGGAAACAAAAACTTGCATCAATGTGGAGCAAATATCAGATATTTATTTGGAGTTATGACAAGTGCAGAGGCATCTTGTGAGCACCAAACTGCTCTTTGACTCTACGCAACTGTTTGTTGTCACACCTTTGAGATGTGGTGTGACAGCCTGTAGGTATTACCGCCGCTAAATTTGGCCTCATGGTGTCCATTGTTGTGAGGGTGAGGAGGGAGAGTGAGGTCAGTATCTGGTCAAGCCCTGTGGTCTCAGCCTGACACCGGGTTTACTTCAAATTCCGTTTGTGGTCGACAGTGGAAAGAGTTACTGCTTACCCTGAGACGTACTGGTGAATGCAGTCAAAGCTGGACTGAGGCTTGTCTTTGCTGTCACTCGATAGGTAAAACGAGAAGACCCTGAATCCCTCTGGAGACTCGGGGCTCGGCGCTGGGATCTTTATGAACTATACATGACAAACAGATACACAAAACAACAATTTTCAATCTGTAAGAGACATTTCTTGGTGGTTTAATATATGCATAGAATGAAAGCAGCAGTAAGTATTTAACTAAGTGAACAGTTAATGTTTAACATTTAGGAATTTCAGTCTAAATCCGCAAGCTTTGCTATTTTGAGCGGCGGTTATGTAATAAGTGTGTTTTATCGCTCACAGAATCTGCCTGAACTGAAATGTCTCAAAAGTAAAGAAAACCTATGAGCACAAGTTTTTTTTATGCTTCCCAGTCCAATAAATGCCACCTAAATAATCCGCCATGCGGGCTGAGCCACTAAGTTAGCAAGGCACCTCCCAGGTCAAAGACGATGACCTCGTGTGTCGGGACAGAATCCTGTCTGAAGGTCGAAAAAACAAAAACGCACAGGAAGGCCTTTTAGATTCCTTCTGCTCGTTGCTTCCTCACGGTAAAAAAAACAACAAAAAAACAACAACAACAGCACAAAGTCGATCTCTGTTAGTGAGCCGTTACATAAAATGACCTAAAAACCCACTTCCAGTAAAAGGATAGTTGAACATAGAAAGTCATTAACCCACAGGTAATATGTCCTTTAAAGCACGCTGGGTGGTGGCTTGCCTCTACGTCGCCTGCAGCTGTGTCTCAGCCTGAAAACGAACACTTTTTCCAATCGATGGCGTGTCCCAGATTTACAAAAGCATGCTCAAACCCAAGTTTGTTTTAAACTGTAAACGACCCATTTAGCTAAATCTTGTGTGTGATTTATCAGCAAGCCTTGTGTCTGACGGCACTGCACCCCCCACCCCTGGCAGATGTGATAGGCAGGACTTTAGCTGTCACAAATGCCCAGTCATGCAGCAAAGCCATAAGCATTTTTTTGCAACTGCGAGCCAATCAACAGCCTCCTTTCCTTGACACCCCTCCTCCCCTTTAAAACCCAACGCATGCCATTCACCCTGCCCCCCACCCGCCTCCAGCTTTCCTTCATGTGCACAAGTCCACCCATGTCAACACAAAACGCAAAGCTGCACAGGATGGGGACACTTAAGACACAGCTGACCATTAATTTTGACCTATTTATGTCAGGCTGTTACAATTATGCAGTAAAGTGGAGTCATACGTGTGTCTCTTGAGGTTTTTATGGTAATTGAGACCCATAAAAAAAATAAAACCCTCAACAAGCAAATGCACTAAAAGAAATAAGCCACGATCTCAAAATATATTAATACTTTAAAAGGTTTAAGTCAAATCTGCCATGAAGGATGTAAGGATTCAGTGAAACTAGTTTCAAATGAGAGGGAGGTTAAATCAAAGCTTTGTGAGAACATGAAAGTGCACATTTAGCATTGCAATAGTGCCACCACGTCCCATCTTTCAGGGACAGCAGCCGTTTCAGACCCCCTCCAGACATGCATTATATGTGCATGTCACCCCGATCCATGCCACCGTGCACACTTCATATTCTAATTCTAATCAATGTCACTCAGGTCAGACTGTTCAGAGGTCGAAGCCCCTCCCAACCACCACTTTATTCACAGCTTCCTTCTCAGGCTTCATAACCATATGCCATTTAACCCGTCCGTTCCCAGATCCTCAACTAGCACCTCTTTATCTGATCCCAGATCAGTCTGTTGCCCTGAAAGTGGTGAGTGAGTAACAGATGACTACATGATACCTGAACCACAGAGGAAAAGGTTTGATCTGATGGTTAGCAGCCGGTGCACAGACTGAACAGAGCAGAGTAAACTGACCTAGAATAAATGTCATGTAAGTGCTTTAATTACCTTGCTATGACTTTTTACAAAGTAAAACCAAAACTATTTTTTAATGTTAGCATGTTGGTATACAAGTGACTTATAAAGTATATGATAAATGTGAAAATGCATGACCTTTTCCTCACATTTCTCATAACTGCACGGACACATATCAAACTACTTCTGACTCATCAACACTGAGGAATGAAGGTGGTTTTATATAGAAACTTAAATGTTAAAAAACTGAAACAGTGATACTATTTTTTTAAAGTTTTTATAAATGTCCATGTATATATATTTTTTGCCTTAATCTGATCCAGGTTCTATTGTATTTAGTTGAACTGGACTTGTTTGCCTTTTTCTTCAGTACACTAAGGAGATTTTTTTTGTTTAGAATTTGAATTTTATAAATAAACAGAAATGAACGATTTAAACTTTTACAAGAAATGTCACAACGAACTCACTCAAGTTGTGGCAGCCCACTTTAGTTCTTGACCCAAACAAGAGTTCCTGAGATGGTGTCCAGAAATAAGTGCAAATTATTGCTAATAGCTTCTTTTATAAATAAAACAAAACATTGCCAGATGAGTGCCAAATGAGTTGGTTGTTGCAACTATGTGTTTTTTTTTTCATTACCCCCCTTTAAAAAAAAACAATAGCTGTGATCACGCATCTATGATGGGGCGTTAGTTAGAAGCTGATGTTTGGGAACCACGTCTGTAAGGTAATTTCTTTATGTGAGAGAACAACTGTGCAGAACCCATAATTGCAGCTTTTTAGTGCAACCCTCCACAGCTGTATCCATAATCCTATTACCTGGTTGATCTGTGTTATTTTCGTTGCATACCAGCAGCTAGTCGAGCCAACTCAGCAGATGTAGTGTAGTGTCAACAGCCAGACGTTTACAGATTACAACTATCAGCACCACAGAATACACTAATCATCACAGCCAACCTTTTATCATCTCACCATCCACCCTGACGGGATCAGCTCTGACATTTCATTTATTTAATCAACGGTGCATCATCAGCAAACAGGTTTGTTAGCCTGAAGGTCAAGCAGTAGGTGTGGATTTACATAAAGTCAGTGAGTCACAGGGATTTCCATATGGAGCTTTGGCCCCCACGATCCCTTAGAGGCAATGAGGGTCTGTGAATGATGTGTGTGTTGCCTTTTTATCTCATTTAGGTAAAGCTTATATCCTTCCATCAGTCCCTCTATCACAGGAAAAATGAAGCTGTGAAAATATGCAAAACTTCACTTTTCATCAACTGGAAAAGCAACATTTAAGACACAACTAGTAAGTCAGGATTACTAGCCAGCGCTTTGGGAGATGTTCAGCTGCAGCGCCCCTAGGTCGAATGCTGTGTGTACATGTTACAAACTACATGAGTTTCTCTAAGAGCTGAAGCTGCACATTGTTTATATTTAAATCTCGCACTGCACACATTTAAGAAGTCCCCTTTTTATATCCTAAAGATGTAATTAAAAGTAGAAAAGAAACATCAGTTTTAAGGTGTTTGCTTATTTAAAAAAAAAAAATATATATATATATATATATATATATATAGCTTTTTGGCTAAAACTGCAGTTTTAAAATTTAAATATTTCCAGCATATTTATTATTCCAATGTAAACATTATCATTGATTATTAAACTAAGTACTACCGCATTTGCATTCTTCTTCCAGCTCATAATGAAATTAAAAATTCATTAAATTGCCTTTGCGTTACATTATAATTAACTAATAATGAATATTGATGGTTTAATCCGATGTTTATTATGCAGAAAGAAACTTAATTGGCATTTATCCAGATCAGAGTGGCACATCAGCAACATGTGTCAGTTTATTATTTGCAGTAATTCTCATTATCACAACACAAGTTTAGTAAAACTGTTGGACTGTTACAATCAGAGCTACCAAATGTTAACACCCCCACCCCGTTCCCCCATACGTGTGCACAGGCTAATACAATAACTGCCTCTGTGGCTGCAGCCCAGCCACATCTGCTAATCCTGGCCTCGTGTGTTTGGAGATGTCAAATACTTTCAAGCTGTTAGAAGGTGTGAGCTGGGCTGGAACAGAAAATCCCTGCAGGGGGGCTCAGCAGTCGAACAAGTACTAGGGTCAATATTGCTGCATCTTGGTAAAACTTCATCTGTAACTTCTTCTTTCAGCAATCCTAAACTGTTCTCTCTGGTCAGAATAAAAGTTCTTCTTGATTCGAAGAGACAGTAAATGATGTGAGCTACTTTTTGCCAGAGCTCTGCTTTGCTGAATAAAGGCCAAACATCTGCAGGGAAAAGATGAGAGGATAGTTTGACTCTGCTGTGCAGAAAGAAAGCTCTGGTGTTTGTCATGGCAGCACAGAGACGGGAGCATGGAAATGTGATTTACCCTGAAGTCTTAGCCTCCTGCTCCTGTGTAGTGACACTAGTTACCATTGTCTTCTCATCTGAGCCTACTCAGCCATAGCTGCTCTGTGAGTTGCCCGTCTTTTGTTCTAGCTCTCTCCCCACAAAGCTGTGTGCAATGCCCTGATCGGGCTGCCTGGATTATTCATGAACAGCAGGGACGTGTCTCTGTGTGTTGCTGGGTGGTAAAGGGAGGGATAGAAGGTTTGGGTGTGTGTGCACGGATGCGATAGGGGTGGCAGTGACTCCCAGTGGAGTCGGTGCATTAAAGATGGCCCCAAGATATTCTTCCTCTAGGAATGTGCAACCAAGTATGCAGAGGTGGAGGGCAATTATGGCTGAAGTATGCATTCTCAGATCAATCTGTATTATTTACTTAGCTTTCCAAATGGCAGACAAATGATCTAATAAGGATCAGAAGGGTTTTTATGTTTCTGATGGAAGGAAACATTCAACTAAAGTTTGCTATCCAGCAAGTGCATTGGTGTTGGGTATCATTAAACAGCAATTGGCCCCAGTCACTGTTCTCCAGCACCAATCATGATCTACAACTCGTCTGCATATCCGAATTAAAAACAAAACACGTGGCCACAAAGCTGTGCTTTCAAAGACCTTGGATGTGATGCTTGAGGATCTATTCATTGAAGGGGGTTGGTAGATATAGGAAAAGCAAAAGGAGAAGGAGGATGGAGGGGGGGACGCAAATTAGTGCAGGGATATGGGGATAGGCAACTGTCGAACATCCCCCAAGGTACTGCCTGTTATGCCAGGCAGAATCTGTCTTTTTTCAAAGAGGCTTGTCAACCTCAACAAATGCTCGC